CCGCCCGGAGGCCGGGTGCGGAGGTCTCCCTCGCGGTCCCGGCGGATCCCCTCCGAGGATTCGCGAGTTTGTCCCCCACACGGCCGCCCACGTCGGAGCGCCTGGACCCCAGCCTCACTCACGTGCTCGAGGTGTGGTGGAACTCCCGAGCCCCGGCAGCGGGCTTCCGCCTGCCTCCCACCCAGAGCTCCAATCAGGGTCGCGGGTGGCCCGGAGTGTGGGTCTCCCGGTTACCGGAGCCCCTCGTCGCCCCCCCCCCCGACGTGCAGGGATTGCCAGGAAAGACCGCCTTCCTTCGTCAGACGTCCCCCTCCCTCTTCAGCCACAAGGTCGATTAACTGCCCACGCATGCCCCTGTCACTGACCCCTGGCCCAACCTGCTTATTGCTGAGAAGTGTCCTTCCCAGCCTTCCCACTGCTGTAGGAGCTGTGAGGCGGGGCCCATGCCTCAGCTGGCATCAGCTTCCCTGACTCATCCAGACAGCTTGAGTACCTGAATGGTATGCCAAGCCCTGTGCGAGGGAGTGGGAGTGGGGTAGAGGTTGGACCGGAAGAACTTCCAGAATGGGGTGCCCAGTGGAACCCGAGAGACTGCTCAGGGGAGCACTCTGGTCTCCGCACCCTTCTGGCCTGATAAGGGGTGTGTACCTTTGAGAGAATTTCAAATCTGATTGCTTCTGATGTATGTTGAACAGAGCATGGTGCTGCAGGGACGCTGTGGTTACAAGTCAACGTGGAGGGGCAGAAAAGAACGTCCAAAAAAACCAACAAAATGCTTTATTTTGAAACAAAGAATATTGTATAAAAAAAAATCCAGTTGTAGAAATCAGCAGACACACAAAAAGTTTACATACAGATACTGTACACGTGGGCCCTGCCCTTTAAGTTACACTAAGAACAGGTTGGCACAGCCTCCCTGCTGGCACAGCTCCAGGTAGTGTGACCCAATACTGGGGGAGGGCGCAGTGCCTGGCTACAAACCTCTCTGTGGCAGCCCCACAGACAGAAGTCTTCTGGGAGATGCTGGTCAGCCCAAGCATGTTGCCTCTCCTGTACCTGGCTCCCTGCAGGAAACTGTCTCGTTTTTCCTTCAGTCAGTTCATCTAGGCATCCTGGCTGTCTCTGGGAGGGGCATCTTTGCCAAGCTCATTGTCCATTACATGGCCTCAGGCCCCTTCCAGCTTTGTTCCTGTTGGACCCTCATCAGGGGCCATCTCTGCAAAGTTTGTTTCTTTGGCTTAAAGGCAGGAATGGCAGGGAAAGGACAGTCCCCACTTCTTTCTCCATCCCTCTGAAGTGGGGGGATGGCGCTGCAGGCTAGTTGACTTCTTTTGGGCTGAAACCCTTAATACTGACCCGTTTTGAGGCTGCTGGGTGGCAGCCTATGCTTGTGGTGGGAGTGGTTCCCAGGGCTGGAGCTGTGAGACAGGCCCCAGGACAGATGAGGTGTGCCTGTCCCTGGCTCCTTGGCCCAATTCCAATCCTTAAGCCAGGTGTGGCACACATCTTCACTGGGTTTGCAGAAGTAGAAGTGGCAGGAGCAGCACAGTCCAGGCAAGAGGGAAGAGGCGGGGGGCAGCACTATGACCAATGCTGTGTAGAACGCGCACTTCTGGATCATCTGCAAGGTGAGATGGAAAATGCCCTCAAGATAAGTGGCCCCTATTTGTACTGGTCCTCAGCCCAATAGGGTCTCCCCAGCCCTTGACTGGCAAAGAAGCCACATCCTATGCCCCAGAACCAGTTGGAGCCACCTACCTGCTGGAAGTCTCTTCTCCTGTGGATTGGCATGAGCCTGAGGACTATGAGCTGGAAGGCAAGAGTGGAAGTAGATCAGGATTGTACTAGGCAAGTGGAGGGGTGTGAGTGCAGGGTGGCCCGGGCAGTGGGACCTCCCTACTATCCCAGATCACTAGACCCAGCCCAGCATAGAGATGGAGGGAGGGGGCCCATGGGCCAGGCACTCACTGATTTTGCTGTTGACTGTCACCTTCAACTTCAGGCAGTGGTTTTCTACGGGGTTGATGGGTACAGCTGCAAGATAAACCCATAGGGAATTAAGGAAAGAATGTTTGAAGAAGAAGTTAACCCAGAGTGTCTGGTCCTGCTTCCTTAGCTCCCTGCTCACTCTAATTCCTCTTTGCCCTCTACTTTTGATTTTATCCTCCTTACCTTTTGCCCACTTCCCTCCCAGTGGTTAGTATAATCTCCCAGCTTTGGCAGTGGTGATGAGAAGACACAGACAAGGACATGGTCCCCTCCATATATTCCATCCTTCACTCCTCTAAGCCTGAAGTTGGATGAGGCCTTCATAATACATTTCTCTTTACCTGGGCTATTTTCTACCACCCCTGCTAAGGGCCCACCTACACAGTGATCCCTGAATCTGTTCTGCACAAAGCTGTCCTTGTGATTCTTATCAACAACAAGCGGCTCTCCTTGCCTTCACGATAAACTCCTCCACACTGCTTATATTCCCACAATCTGTCCTGTCCACGCTCCACACTCATCTTTCTCCACTTCCCTTGTGCCTCCTACTCCATGAGGTTCCTGAAGAGGTCATGCTTGCTTTGCACATGTGTCTGTGCCTAGCAAAATCTTCTGCTTGTCCTAAGCTCTGGAGTCATTTCCCTCATCATCCTTTTCTGTTCCCCCTAGCCTGACAGGTGCACAGGCCATTTTCCCAATGTTCCTGCGCTCATGCCTACCATATCACCCTGTTCTTATGGTCTGTTGACTATGGGTGTTCCTTCCCAACTTCTTTGAAAGCAGAGATTCTGAAATGTTTTCTTTATCTCTGTGCCTATAGTGCCAAAGAGAGTGCCTGCTACACAGAAGCTCACTCCACATTTGTGATATGAATGAGTAAATGAAAACAGAATTCAGGCTTAGAAGGGGTCCTACGTTATTTGACTCTCCACTAAGCATGTCCCTAAGCATATGCTTTGTTTTTAAAATATTTTTTTAAGTTGTTGATGGACCTTAATTTAATTTATTTATTTATATGTGGTGCTGAGAAACAAACCCAGTGCCTCACACATGTGGACAAGAGCTCTACCACAGAGCCTCAACCCCAGCTCCACCAAGCATATGCTTTATGCCACTGTGCCCCCAATAGGTGCACCCATGTGCCTGACTCCCATGCACTCACAGAAGTAGTAATAGTTGTGTCCCTCCTTGAATTCCTGGCTCAAGGGCAAAGATGTGAAGGGCTGAATCTTTTCAGACAGCTTCTCAGGGCCATGTTTGGCCTTGGGCTGGTTGCACCGCCAACGGATCCTGTCCTTGGGTTGGGGCTGGCATATCCCATATTCCTGATGCTCCACCAGGTACAGGGTGTACCGCTCCATGGCAGCCTCTGCCACAGAGTCATCCTCATAATGGGGACAGATAATGTCCACGTAGTCATTCAGCTGCACGTGTATTGTGTAGTCCTCATCCTGGAACCTGAGCATGTGCAGAGTGGGAGGAAGCAAATGGTTATTCAGAAGCCAGGCCCAAGCCTTGAGCCTTAGACTGTTTTCATGACCCCTAACATTTCACTCCAGACCCAAAGATTTTTCTAAAATATCAACTCACAATATTTATGGATCTTTTTTTTTTTTTTTTTTTGTGGTGCTAGGGATTGAACCCAGGGCCTTGTGCATGCCAGGCAGGCACTCTGCCAACCGAGCTATATCCCTAGCCCATATTTACAGATCTTGATCTCATTTCTCTACTGTCTCGAAATGTGCCCCCAACACCATCATCTCCTAATAGTCTTCCACTTAGTGTGTTTCAGATACAAAAGCATTCAGTAACCCAAGTATTTGCCCAATGATGGGCTTCTAAATATTTCTGTAGCTCTTTCATTATTCTTTTCTCTACCCATAAATATACCCCCAAATTTATTCTACCAGTTGCTTCCCCACCCCCCAGTACTGGGGGTTGAATGTAATTTGCCATTGAACTACATCACCAATGCTTTTATTTATTTTTTTATATTTATTTTTTAGTTTTAGGTGGACACGATATCTTTATTTTATTTTTATGTGGTGCTGAGAATCGAACCCAGTGCCTCATGCACGCTAGGCAAGGGCGCCACCACTTGAGCCACATCCCCAGCCCCTTACCAATCCTTTTAATTTTGAGACAGGGTCTTGCTAACTTCCTGAGGCTGGCCTGGAGCTAGCAATCCTCCTGCCTCAGCCTCCCCAGTTGCTAGGATCACATGTGTGTCAGCACATCCTGCTCCAGTTGCCCCTTTAAATGCTAGTAGATCTCAATCTGTGAAACCTACTGGGGCCATTCTGTAATCAGGACCCAAATAATCCCTTCTCTTCACCATGCTCATGCTGAGCCCCTCATGCTTCTCTCATCCCTCCACCCCACCCCAGGCCCAACTCACTGAGTCTGCCAAGTTTGCTCCTTCCCTCAACCCCTAGACCAGACCCAGACCCATAGATAATGCCCCTAATCCTTTAAATTAAATCATTTTCACCAAGTCATCCAATCTCCCTTTCTTGCTACTCAAATTTATGCCCAGGTCCTCCTCTCTGAGAGCACCCCCAAACTCCCTGTCTGTTTACCTCCAAAAGCTGCCTAGTACCTCACTCTGATGAAATGCTGTTCTCAGACCTGATGCTGCCTGTTTTCTCTGCTCCTCCCCAAGTGGAGCTGTTCCCTTCCCCCAAAGACCCACAGGCTCCAGTCATACTGCCTCCTCACACCCCCCAGCTCCAGACACCTGGCTCCATCCTGGGTGGGGTCCTAGCAGGAGATCTCCCCACACACAAACTGGTCAGTTTCTCTGAATTCCCCTAAGTACAGCCAGACAGACAGCAGAGCTGGCTGCCATCTGGACTCAAACTCAAGCCCTGGGTAAGAGTAGCAAGAGGGCAGGAGGGCAGGGGAGGAGTTAGGTCAAGAGGCCTCAGAGGTGGGCCTCCATTGCCCAGTCTGCATGACCCCAAAGGGCCTGGTTCTGCAGCTTGCCTTTGCTGGAACTAGCTTACTAGGGCCCCTCCCCCACCCCAGGAAGAGAGAGAGAGAGAGAGAGAGGAGCAGAGGGAGGCTTTTAAAATTCCTCTCTGGAGAGATAAACATAGAAGCCATTTCGGAACAGGTATTTCAGCTCTGGGCCTGGCGTCTTTCCCCCATTCCCGTGACGGGCACTGACTCACTCCTCATCCACCCGCCCCAGCACTCAGGGGAACCTGTGAAAATTTACCTTGTTGAGTATGGAGAGCCCCCAGCCCTCCATACCCCAGGCTTGCCCTGAGCACTGGCCTCCAGGTAAAGGGGACTGACTGGCTGGTCTGAACAGGCAGGACACCTGCCCCTTTGGCACCACTGGGGCCAGGGCCCAGCTCACAGTGACACCACCCTTCTCCCCAAGCTGATCTTGCCTGGGGCCTGGAGATCCCAGGGCCAGTGCCCAGTGCCCTGAGTCACCATGCCAGCCTCACACCCGCCCAGCACATTGCCACCTCATCTCTGCCCCCCAGCTGGGTCCAGCTTGGTTGCCAATGGACTCCACTATAGACTGGCTCCTCTCTAGTCCTGGGTATGGCTGTGTGTGTGGGGTCAGAGGGGCAGGGCAGAAACTGTGCTTGATGGGGCACCATCTCCTCTACTTAGCCCTCACTTGACTCTTGCTCTCCATCTGGGAAAGGGGGCCACGTCGGCGAAGGGAGGGCAGGCGGGGAGGGGGCAAGGAAGAGGCTCCTTCCTGAAAGAGAGGAAACCTGGGAGCTTGGGAACGGAAAAGGCCAGAGTCTCCCCCTCCCTACTCATGGCTTCCTGTCCCCTCCTCCTCCTTCAGCCAACACCTGGCATGGGCATAAACAGGGACTTTGCTCTCTTACTACTAGGAGAAGATTGGGTCAAGGAGGCAAAGGACAAACAACCAGGAGTGCGGAGCAGGAGGGACTGGATGGGCTGCAGTGGCGCAGTGGGCTGCAGTGGTTGGGGTACTGCCCCCAACCCAATGCCACAGGTCCAGAGGAACCTGGCACAGTATCTTTTCTTTAAGGGGACAGGGAGGCAGGCCTGCTAGGGCTCGGGGTGGCTGAGCTGAGTGGTGTTTTCACCACCCCCAGCTGCCAGGCCCTCTGCTCCCTGCTCTGCCCTACCCTCCTCTCCTGTTTTCCTTCAAATGTTGTTCCCGTAACTTCAGACAACTCAAGGGCAAGAACAAAGGGTCAGACAGAGTGTCTTCCTCCCAGTACCATTTGCCTCACAGCACTAAACCTGCCCAGGAGAAATTAACTCCTTCCTGGCCAAAGCCCTTTGTAACCCTTTAAACCCTTCCAGTCCTTCTGACTCTTTCCCATGACCTCTCTCTTCAGTAGGATTATCTGAACCCTCAAAACTGGGTGACTCCCTCAATGTACCCATGCACAGCATGTGCCTCCGGTATGCCATCCCAAAAGACCCCTGAATGGGAGGCTTCTCAGAGTCATCTTAAATACAGAATGAATGCCTAATACCTGAGGCTGGGGTCCCTTCTCAGGGGTCCTTTCAGGGTTAGTCTCATTGAGCACTGTGCTCCCTTTTGATGTCACATCAGGTACCTGTCAGTATGGACAGATGCCCAAGTGGCACACAAGGAGGACACAGATTCCATGCTTGGGGGGCTTAGAATAAGATCCCCGGAGGCCAGGGGGGTCAGTCTATACTCAGGAAGCTCAATATGGGTCCCTCACTTCAGAGTGACAAGGGTGCCAGAGGGCAGGAAGGGAAGGGCAGAACTAGCACCGTACAAGCAGACACCGGCAGGTTCCTGCCCGGGGTGGGGTGCTCCCAGCTAGAGGGAAAGTGAAGGGGAAGAAAAGCTATAGAATTCCTCCCGCCCGGGGTTGCCTCCCCTAGGCTCAGGTCAGCGGCTGGCCAGGACAGTTACCCTGGGGAGGGGCAGTGCCGGCGTCCAGGCTGCCAGCGGGAGACTCGGGGCTTACTTGGGATTTGAACTGTTCCAGAAGACGGTGTAGCGGTCAGCAGCGGCCAGACTGCAGCACAGACCCAAGACAGGGGCCCAGAGGAACTCCATAGCGCGGGGCCTGGCCAGGCCGGGCGAGGACGAGGGGCTCCTTGGGGTCTGGGTTCACGCTGGTTTTCTCCGCGGCGAACTGAGCACAGCGCTCACAGCTCTGGCCCCTTCGCCTG